AGTAGAGGCTATGGAAGAAATGCAGAGATGCTATAATGTAAAAATTAGAGGCATACCAAAGGCTCTAGGACGTGCTGACTAACCACACTTTATTCAAGCCAACGTAGTGAAGCTGGATGGCATGTTTAGCATACCTAAACCGGTGACTATGCCAGCCTCAGCAGCTCCCAACCTCATTATTCAGTTCCAGTCCCCCCAGGACAAGGCTCTCCTTCTTACTACCCTACAATTCTTCCCGGACCTCACAAGGAACTCTCTCACATGGTCCAGGTCCTTGAAACCCCACCTGCAATATTTACACACTGGAGAAGTTACTTGCAGATAGGGGACTCCATGATTTCTTTTATTCACCCACCAAGGGACTATCAATAGGGTAAAAAGCTATGAAGAGTTGAAGACACTACTGAGTAAGTCTTGTCTCCTTGAGTTGCCCAATACTGCTGCAGCAAACTTGTCTCACTTGAACCGGACAAAGGTGATGAAGTTTACCCTGTGCTCAGCATGAGCCACCATGTCCACCTAAGCAGAGACTTGAACTGTTCACTCCTGGTTACACCCTGAAACTGCAGCTTCTCTCGAGGAGCCTATCTTTTTTTCCAGAGGTCTACTAATGTAAACTACCTTTATTGTTTATGTATATTTTATTCCCTTCTCTTCTTTTGTTTTGTTACTTACATTTGCTAATTGTTTTCATGGTTAAAATTTACTTCTCCATATCGGAGAATATTGAAAGCCTTAATGGCTTAATAGCCTTTATAGTACCCTAGACAAATCCTGGTCAACTGCCGTGGCCTATGTACTCCCCCCTCCCCCCTCCTTATTCCTAGGCCTGGCTATACATTGCCAACTTGTCCATGCTCTAATAATTTCATGCATGGATTATTGTAACCCTCTCCTGCTTGGTCTTCCCAAAAGCCGTACTGCACCCCTACAGTCTGTAATGAATGCTGCTGCTAGACTGATTTTCCTCTCTAGTCGGTTCTCTCACACCTCACCCCTCTGCCAGTCCTTACATTGGCTTCCTGTGTGCTATAGGAGTCAATTCAAGGCACTAACTCACACCTATAAAGCACTGAACAACTCTAGCCCCTCTTATATCTCCTCACTGATCCACAGGTATGTCCCTTCTCGGTCTCTCCGCTCTGCCCGTGACCACCTCCTGTCCATTGTCCGCACCCGTACGGCCAACTCGCGCTTGCAGGACTTCTCGCGGGCGGCTCCCTTACTATGGAATAGCCTGCCTACCGCCATCCGACTCTCCCCTAGTCTTGCATCTTTTAAGAAGTGCCTTAAAACCCATCTCTTTAGGAAAGCTTATGGCCTCCAAGACTAACCCCTACCTCACATACCCGTCTCTTGCCCTCTCCTAAAGGGCAGCCCACCTTATTTGATTGCACATTCCTGTCCTAATGTGTTTTACACCCCACCTCCTATAGAATGTAAGCTCGATTGAGCAGGGTCCTCTTCAACCTATTGTTCCTGTAAGTTTATTTGTAATTGTCCTATTTATAGTTAAATCCCCTTTCATAATATTGTAAAGTGCTACGGAATCTGTTGGCGCTATATAAATGGCAATAATAATAATAATAATAATAATAACTACTACTATATAGGAGGGGATTCTTTATCTTAAGGGTGCTGGATCTCTGTTGCATGTAACCTATGTTCCACCCTCCAGCCATGGGAGGAATACTAGTCGACTGTTAATTTAACCTTACCTCACTGTTTTTATACCTCTAAAACCCTAATTCTACATGCCCTTTTGTATGAGATGCGAAACTGCTCCTTATTGTCTTCTGCTATGTTTTATAACCTACTGGTTCATATGATTATTGTAGTCATGTGGAATGAGCAAAAATGAAGAATAAAAAAAATTAAAAAAATAAGGTTCCTGCTGATTTCACTGGGAGTATGATTGAGAGCTATACTTTCCTTGTCTGGAATACAATAATAAAGTTTAACCAAAACATGTAAAGCATACTGAGGGGCTTTTTTTCAACAACAATAACTGACAAGGCGTGAAGACCAAAAGGAGATCCAGCAGGTATTTTATCTCTAGATAATAGTGTTTCTCAATTACTACTAAAATCTTTATGCTTGGAGCCAAAATAAAATAAATAAATATATAAAACAGGAGCAAGGGGAAAAAATAGGATAATGACATAGAAATGTCATTAAATGGAAAGAACTATGTAACATAATATGACACCGGATTTATTTTTTAATAAATTACCTTCATTAAGGCCAAATGGAGAAAGGAATTTATAGAGTTATATAAAGAAATATTATTTTCTACTCAGCTTCTTGCCTCTTTGCTGGTCTAAAACCACTAATTCAGTGCCTGCAAATTTCAAGAAATGGGAATCTCCTTTGTGACATAATTACAAATGTCTGGATATGGGAGTATCTTAATTGGTACTGTTAATAGAATTTCCCACACTCAAAGATACAATGATTGAAGGCAAAACGTCTTGCCCACATACTTTAATCCACTACTGCATATTACAAAATACACTGTCTCAGTTCTATTGCATATTAACCCCTTAAGGATACATGACGGAAATATTCCGTCATGATTCCCTTTTATTCCAGAAGTTGTGTCCTTAAGGGGTTAAACAAAATTTAACCTGAATTTACTCTGAATATTCAATGTTCCCTAGTTTCTTAGAATCTCTCTGAATGATTTTGTATGCTTTGCTCTACTTACAAGTACCTACAACTGGCTTTGATAGCCATATATTCAGAGGGTACCGTGTCTGAAGAAGGCTTTGGACCAGTAAATAATATAGACTTTCACATATTCTGGCTTTTAATTGATGATCCTAACTTAGGAAGGGTCAGTATCTTGTAAGAATATTCTTACCAGGTTTCCATCCTGCATTGAATGTACCTATGTATCGTGTGGGTAACTTGGCGTGCAATGGCACAGTTTTATGTTCATTAATGAGAGGCATCGTATCAGTAATGAGTGCTCCATTTGCTTTATACTGAGGAGACGCCTGCTTTCTTCATACTCCTCAGTATTTAAATTAGAACTGGGAAACCTGAAGATCCACACCAATTGATAAAGCCCTTACTGGCGAAACGCGTCTTGGACCCACAGAAGGATTGAGAGAAGGACTCATTGCCTATTTATATTTGTATTTCTAAGCTGATTTTATTTACTATTTTGTTTTATTTGTAATAAACTATATTTCTTAATTTAAAGTCCCCTTTTTACCTTCATCTTGAACTTACCATTCCGATTCCAACAGGGAAGTGTCACCCTAGGAATTTGACACTAAGTGGGAATGTTTGGAGCCAGTTATCTAACAGGCTCCAAGTAAGGTGAGCAGGCAATTTTATACCAAATATATTTTGATTGTTGAAATAGCCACACCTAGATTGTTTCTTTTTCTGCTTTATCTCCATATTGCTGCTGGGAGAAAATATACAGAAGAAAGTTTTCTGGCGCCACCTAAAAGGCCCAGACTCTCCTCTTGTTTAGAGCCAATATCGAAAAAGGCTCTAAAAAATGTGAGTTTGTCTATATACTCACTTTAACATACATTTTTAAAGTAATATACAATATCACACTATTACATACTTTTTTGTTCTTTGCATGTGGAAAAATCCCCTATATGTACTGAGGGGTAAGTATAAATATATTTTAAGCGCTGCACTTTTGGACTCTGTGTGCTGAGTGGTGGGGTCTATCACCCAAACACAGAGTTAGCTTTCTGTTTATATTCTTTGTTTTAGTGGATCTTTTGGGATATCCATAAAGTGTGCAATAGCTGCTGGTATTACAATCAAAATTACTGTTATCACTGTTAAGCGCCTTATATACACTGTTCTATCTTTCATTCTTACACACAACTTTTTAATTCAGTATATTACCACTGGGGGACCACACAAACTGCCGCCATTTCACTAAAGGGGGCATGGTCACTATCAAGTGTCAGAAATTATTATTTGCCTTTGTGGTAAAAGTGGAAAATGCTGTAAATTATTTTTTTTTGGAGGGGGGTGAGCGGGGGTTGTAGTTATAGTAGAAATTGATGTGTGATAAAACTTGATATTAATCTGTAATCTAACTTTATTTTAGTTGTGCAGGATTTTCAAGAAACTGTAGCTGAGAGGAAGAATGGTTTATGGACAACATAAAAACACTAAAACTCTTGAGAGATGCCACGTATTGATCAGAGCTCAAAATGTTCATTTACAAGTAGCCCTGGCTAGTAAAATCTAATCCTGGTGAGTAGCAATTTACTCCTGGTGTGTATACTATGGCTTGCAGTGTTGCACATAAAACAAAGAAGAGAAGTAAAATAAACAAATGGGTTCTGGGTTTGTTACATGTTATTTTATTCATTTATTTTTAAGGATTGGACACTCAAATACATTTGCTTATCCTTGATTTAAAGTAAATAATTTAAATAAACTATTAAAGACAATGGCAGCATGTTGCTTTAACTAATAACATTCTGTGAATGAATGCAATAATTATTTTGATCAACATTTTAATTGTGTGCAGCCAAAATATAATATTGTCTTGAGTACTAGCATCCAAAGAGTCAAGGACACCCTTCTACTAGCACAGCCATGTCATTCTGTTGTTTATTCAGTACCTCTAGAAAACCTGACATGCTCTTTGAACTTGAACTACTGGGTTCTTAGGGAACACTGGTCCAAACACATTCTATTTTGGGAGTTGGTAGCTGAAAAATAGCCTTTGTGTGAACTACAGAACATGCTGATTTCTCAGGTATCCTATGAATCAAAGGCACATTCTACAATGGCTATTGTCTGAGAGACTCAATACTGATTAAATAGTAATTGAGAGGAAAATAAAACAAATTGCCTGGGTTTGGGGTTTTGTTGTTTTTTGTGGTCTCATGATGAGGACAGTGCTGACACTGGCCATCTGATATCCATTATGTAAATTAACATTGTTATGCAAATCAATCTAGTTACCAGCTACTATAAATTAGGAAGAAATTGTTCAGTTTGCATCAGTTGATCAACATACTCACGATGGGAAAGGTAATATACACAAAGTTATCTTATATGTATAGTTGATAATGCATAGTGAGATAAGCTTTCGTGTAGCCTAATGGAAATTAGTTGAAGCAACCTAGGGGAAATCAATGAGTCTTATTAAAGGGACCACCATCTCAAATTATGATAATTAAAATGGGTCATTTTGAAAGGTATTTTACAAAATATCTCAGCAATATATCACACATGTAGGTATTTATTATTAATTCAAAGCAGCTGCATTATGGAATGCCAGCAGATCAAATATGTCCTTTCATGTTATCATGGGACATTTATGATGAACAATGTGCAGTTGGCCTTTGAATGTTTAAGTAAAGCTTATAGACCAGCCACTAAGGTAGGTTTTTCAAATAAAACTACTAGACATGAACAAAACTTATTAACAAATATTAATCTCACAGATAATTAAATTAAAACAAGGAGATTGGGAACATACAAGGGCAAACAGTTTTTATATTGCTTTAGACTACCAGCTTGTGCTCGCACAAGTTCACTGTTGATTTAAAGCATTGTGTCCGTCTACATGACAGTAAACTAGAACAATTCCAAATATCACTATATTTCCAGATCATCTTTTTTGAGGACAGGAACTTTCAGGGTCGCTCCTATGAGGGCAGCGCTGACTGTTCAGAGTTAAACTCATTCTTCAGCCGCTGCAACTCCATCCGAGTGGAGAATGGAAACTGGATGATATATGAGCGCCCCAATTACACTGGACACCAGTATTTTGTGAAACAGGGAGAATATCCAGACTGCCAGCACTGGTCTGGACTGAGTGACTCAATCAGGTCCTGCCGTCTGATTCCACAGGTAAAACTACAATTTTAAGTTTTGCTATTACTTTATACTATGATTAATACATCAGTCTCACATGACTCAGATTTAGCATTATTGCGCTTAAGACCACTTTACTGCATGGTTATCTTATATGCCTTAACCAGAGCCTTTGGAAATCTTACCTGATATTTATATGTTTTGAGAAACAGGAAAAAAAAGTTACTTTTCAGGAATTCATTTTAATAGTTCTTCCTTTGGTAGTAAGGGATGTAATTTATAAACACCATGAGAAGCAATTTGACAAGTGTAGACCAAAACAGGGGATACAGAAAAAAATACAGACGACCTGAAGTTTTTTCCTGTTCAATTCTTTTGTTTGTTTTTTTTAATAATTTGCTGGCAAACATCTCCAAAATGGGTATGCATAGTTTCATTATTGTAGTCTGTATTTTAGAAGTCAATGGTCAACATACTCCAATTCACTGATTAGAGAATAAACGAACAGAGCTATTTATTAAAGTGAGAATTCAAAGTGAATTTCAAATTTAGGTCTAGAACTGAAAGCAAGCCTGACTTGGAGAATTTTTCCAGTTTGGCTATTTTAAACTTAAAATTTGAAATTCTCTTTGAATTCTTACTTTATTGTATAACCCTGTAAATGTAAAAAGCATAGACATCCTCGGGGATGTGTGTTAACCCCACTTAATTTAAACTGCAACTAGTTAGCATTGTTATCTCAAATAGCTAGTTATTTTTGGGTAAGTGAAAACCTTTGTAAACTGAAACTTGGCACCTGTCATCAAGCCTTGCTTTGCAAGAATTTTAAAAATAATATATCTATTTCTCACACAATAAATGCTACTGCAATTCAGGAAGCAGATTCAAGTTGATCAGACACTAGTCTAGTATCAGCTATAAGTATGTGGACTCAAAAGATTCACTGGACCTAGCCTAACACATTCAGTTTTCAAGTAGAACCACGAATGTTCCTATGAAAGCTTTCCAGTGAATAATTCGACAAAACCAATATTTCCACCATACTCACAAAGGACAAAACTTATTTTCAAATAGTTTTTTTTGATAAATGTTTCAAAATATTATATAAATAACAAGAAACTTAAACATGATTAAAACATAAAAGGGGGGATAATAACATTAAAGCTATTAAAAAAGGAAAAGAAATAAAAAAGAAAAGAAAAGATTGGGGGCATTTTCTTAAATAAACATACAATTAGTTTCTTGAATAAAAAGTAGAACATAATAAATGTATACATATTAATCTGTAATAAGGTTCATGGCTGTTAGTCTGTATACATAAAAAAAAATCTATAGTATATATGGAACCTGATTTGAGGAAGGATAAAATATGAGCTCCATTTGCTAAACAGTGAATTGACGCTATGTGGGGAAATCTCGGAATTGGAAATTTTTACCAAGTCATCTACCTTATGCTAAATTTGGCAGTTCAGTTTAGTAAACTACAATTTAATGTTAATTAAATAAACCCCACATGGTTTTTGTTCAACCCTATGTATGCAAGAAGATTGTTTACGCTCTGCTTAAACACTTCACTTGTTTTATTCACGAATATATTATTTTGTTACTTATCATTATTCCCTTTTTTTGCTTTTGTTTGAGTTTATTTTTTTTTTTTTACAGACCTCAAGTAATGTTTTAGTTTTTTTTAAACTATTGGATAAGCTAAGGTCATTTGTAATAAAGTTAATGTAAAACATGAGTATTTCTCCTTTCTATAATATAAAAAGTCCTCCTGAAATAATTCTGGTGCACAATACTACAATTGTAGCAATACAATGTTTCAGCTCCTTGCTCCAAACATATAATTGCACCCTCACATTACTTTTTTGAGAGCTGCATAAGACCTGTTTTGGATCTCACCAGTTGAATGCTTAGCAGATTCTTGCTATTTGTAAGATGTCATATGTTTACCGTACAGCACCGTGGTTCTTATAGAATCAGGATCTACGAGAAGGAGGACTTCCGAGGTCAAATGATGGAGTTCACTGAAGATTGTCCCCATGTAAATGAGGAATTCAATTATCATGACATCCACTCTTGCAATGTGCTTGAAGGAAACTGGATCTTCTATGAACAGCCCAACTACAGAGGACGTCAGTATCTTCTGAAAACTGGAGAATACAGGCGTTTCACTGACTGGGGTGCCATGAATGCCAGAGTTGGATCCTTTAGACGCATTGCTGATTCATACTAAAAAAGAAAAAAAGATGAGATTTTTCCACGTGCTTAAACTCATTGCTATTTACCTAATAAATTCATTTTCCTTCAAGTTGAGTATTATCTCAGTATCAAATAATTTCTATAAGGCCATGATTCACACCAGGGGTGAATCCACCTCACTGACAGCAAAATATTATGTGACAAGGTGAGTGTGACATTGTATTTGTAGATGAGTGTGTTGGGATTGGGGTTTAATGTGATAGCTTGAGTGTGGCAGGGTGAAGGAGGGCAAGTGTGCCAGAGTGATAGAAGATGGGTGTGACAGGGTTGGAGGGTGATTGTGACAGAAGGTGAGTGTAACAGGCTCATGGGGGTTAATGTAATAGGATGAGTGTGGCAGAGCAATGGGCGGTGAGTGGTTGGTGGGGGTGAGTGTGACAGGAGTAGGAGGGGTTAATATGAGTGAAGCAGGGTGACGGAAGGTGACAGTGTGTGCGAGGGTAAAAGTGTGTAAGAGGGGTGACATTTTGGGGGATGACAGCAGTGTATGGGTGGGGTCACTGCGTGGGACAGTGACATTGTATTGGGGTAAAAGTGTGCGGGAGGGTGACTGTGTGTAGAGGGTGACAGTGTGTATGGGGTGACAGTATGTGGGGAGGTGACAGTGGGTAGGGAAATGATAGTGTGTGGGAGGGTAACAGTATGTGGGGATGACAAGGTCTGTGAGGGTGACAGTGTGTGGGTTGATGACAGTGTGTGGGCTCTGCGAGTTTGTGGGGATGTGACAGTGAGCGAGGGTGACAGTGGGTGAGAAAGTGACAGTGTGTGGGGGTGACAGTGTGTGGGAGGTGACAGTGTATGTAAGGGTGACAGTGTATGGGGGTTAACAGTATGTGGTGGGTGACAGTATGTGGGGGGTAACAGTGTGAGGGGGAGTGACGGTATCTGAGAGGGTGATAGTGTGTGCCGGTGACAGTATGTAGATGGTGACAGTGTGTAGGATAGTGACAGTGTGGGGGGGGGTGAAAGTGTGTGACAGTGTGTAGGGGTGACAATGCTTTGGGGGGGTGACAATGTGTGTTACGGAGTAATAGTGTGAGAGAGGGAGACAGTGTGTGGGGGGGATAGTGTGTGGGGGAGGGTAACAGGGTGAGAGTGTATGGGGAGGTGTATGTGTTTTAGTAACAGGCATTTCCACACTGAAAAACATTTTTTTAAGGCATTAATCTATTCCCTAGTGGCCCAGAAGTCACCTTCCTTGGCAGGGATGTATTTACCATAAGGTATTTGCCTAGGGCGGCACTTTCAGGGGGGGCACCAAAAAATGCCATACCTAGCTCCCAGACAAATGCGTTGTTTGCCTTGTGTTCTGGGGCTGTCCACCTTACTGTGAGTGAGTGAGTGAGTGAGTGAGTGTAGCCGTCAGTGTGTGTCTGTGAGTGAGAATGGGTGTGCCTATGAGTGTGTATCAGTGTGTGTATGTCATTTTAGGTGTATCTGAGAGTGGTTGCCTGTCAGTGAGTAGGTGTGTCAGTGTGTGTCTGTCAGTGAAAGTGTGTGTGTTGTTTAAACAGTGTGTGCCAATGACTGTATGTGTGTGCCAATGACTGTGTATCTGTCAGTGAGTGTATATCAGTGCATGTATCAATGAGTGCATGTGTCTGTCAGTCAAAAAAATGGCCTTGACACGAATTGGGGGGGCAAATTTAGATTTTGAGGGTGCCCGAATTTAGTTGTGCCTAGGGCAGCACAAATCCAATATACACCACTGTTCCCTGGTGGTCCAGTGGGCTAGCTACCCGATCTACAGCTCCGCCAGGTGCAGAGTTGCAGTCCATGTGGTAGGTGTCTTGCGAGCTCCGGCAATTGAAGTCTGGAGCAGTGATGCAGACCGGAGGCACTGGGCTGTCTCTCCCCTGAGCAGAACTGCAATGTTTTACATTTCAGGGCTCAATGTACAGGGACACTGCACCGAGACTAAATTGAGATTAAATGGTTTGGGTGCCTATAGTGTCCCTTTAACTGTCTTGAGAGTTTGCAAGTTTATTAAATGCACTTGTGATCTTGTACCAAAACAGTTTGCTCTATGAAGCATGCTGTGCAGAAATAATCCGGGCTACGACACTGGGATTTATTCACTAAATAATTAGCTGTAGTCAACTGAAATGCCAAAATAGCTTATTTAGAAAGACTCAGATGTTATTTATTTATTTATTTATAAAATATTTTACCAGGAAAGATACATTGAGATTTCTCTCGTTTTCAAGTATGTCCTGGGTCCACAAATCATTGCATTGTTACATTAGGTACAACAAAATACAAAAACAATATTAATACACAATATATACAAAATTTAACATAGAAGAGGCAGGAAATATATAATCAACCATGACACGTGCATTCTGTTTTAAGGTATGTAGAGAGGGATCTCTTAAATGACTTTAGGCTTAGGGAAGATTTTAAATTGGGCGGGAGGTCGTTCCACAATTGCGGTGCTCTATAGGAGAAGGAGGATCGGGATAGTTACATGGCTGAAAAGAGACTGGTGTCCATCAAGTTCAGCCTTTCTCACATATGTTTTTGCTGTTGATCGAAAAGAAGGCAAAAAAAACCCAGTCTAAAGTGCTTCAAATTTTGCAACAAACTAGAAAAAACATTTCCTTCTTGACCCCAAAATGGCAGTCAGATGTCTCCTTGGATACAGAAATTATAAACTAATTAGAAACTAATTAGAAATTATATCCCTGAATATTTTGTTTTGCAAGTATTTATCCAATTGCTGTTTAAACATCTGTAAAGACTCTGATATAACCACCTCTTCAGGCGGAAAATTCCACATTACATTCATAGTTACATACGCTAAAAAGAGGCATGTGTCCATCAAGTTCAGCCTTCCTCACATCTGTTTTTTGCTGTTGATCCAAAAGAAGGCAAAGACCCCAGTTTGAAACACTTACAATTTTGCAACAAACTAGGAAAAAATTTCCTTCATGACCCCAGCATTGCAGTCAGATTTATCCTTGGATCAAGAAGCTATTCTTCCATCCTAAATGCGTTACCTCATGTCCTATGTATAGTCCTGTTCATGAATAGATTTACAGACAATGGTTTGTACTGGCCCCTAATATATTTGTATAATGTTATCACATCCCTTCTGAGGCCCCGTTTTTCCAAACTAAAGAGATTTACATTTTTTAACCTTTCTTCATAACTAAAATGCTCCATTCCTTTTATCAATTTTGTAGCCTATGTCTGCACTTTTTCCAGTGCCAGTTCAGCTTGGATATTTTAGCTTGAATTTTACAATTTGGCTTTCAGTACAACACAATTTGCCATTTTGTGAATAAACTCTTCGGTTTTCCTATGTTGAAGGCTACTGGTGCTATGAATAATCACAAATCTACTCTACCTATGCTGAATTAAATCTTTCCAAGCTGATCTCAAAATACATACTCCAGAACAAACTGACCAGCAATCCTACTCCATTAAAAAGATAAATTAAATTATTTGCTTTATACTTTCCCCCAGCAAAATTTTCACATAATAAATGGCTGCATGTGGAATAAACCTTCTGTTTGATGGTCCAGGCTGGATTATGTACTGTGAAGTCACATAGGATTATGTAATTTATGCAATGTGAATAATGCCAAATAGAATTAATGATTAATGTCAACAGGATTAAATAAATATGGCTATGGTGATTGGACTGTTCTTCTAATATAATACATTATAATATAATATACTTTAATATTTATGTATGCCTAATACAGAAATCACATTTGCATATATAAAACGTTACGAGATTTGCAAACCTCATAATGGAATTTAATAAATAAGCTTTAATCACTGCTGGGCTATTTTAGTATAGATTTACAACAATTCCCATATTAGGGAATAATCCTGCCCATCTTCTAGTCTTTGTTGCCCAAGAGTCAAACTCGAGCCTTTAGCCTTTAGGAGCCCTGTGCAAAAAATCTTCACATCACCCCTCCATGGGCATATATAGTGTGTGTGTATAGGGGGGTAGTGTTAGTATTCATTAAATTAATAATTATTGATAAAACAAATATTAATTCCCCCTTCCCTGTTGCTTCCTTGCAGGGAGGGAGGCATGTTGGTCTCTGGTGTGTCCAGTGTGCTGGGAATCTGGTCTGCGCCTCTGCCTCCATGTGTGATATTTGCAGCACTGTTCACTGTGTGAACCTGGCAGGGGGTTCGGGCCGCATTTAGCTCTGCCCCTACTGCACATTTAGCTCTGCCCGACACCTCCCCCTTACTTGTGACCAGCTTTTGAAACGTGCCACTGCACCGCCAGTCTCTGCGTGTGCGTACTATTTTGCCCACATTGAGTCCCTGTTGCTAATGGCGCTCTGTGCACTCCTAAGGCTGTACAGTGGGACATCGGTTTACAAATTCAATGCGTTCTCCGGGACGTTTCTTATTGCGAAAATTTTGTAAACCGAAACACGGTTTCCCATAGGAATGCATTGAAAAGCAATTAATGCGTTCTGGAGGTCAGAAAAAAGTCAAAATGAGCTGGCATGGAAACCAACCCACAATGCAAAACACACAATAAAAGGAATGCAAACGATGAAGCTCAGCTCCATACCTTTCCACAGCTTGAGAAATGCACCAAAAAGTCCCAAAACAACTGCAAATTATTTCCAGAATGGCAAATAAAATATATCCAACAAGGTTTGTACAATGAACAGAATACAAAACAAACCTCATTATTTTAAGCAGACATGCAACAGCATAGAGTCCATATTTGAGTTCCATTACCCGATCAAAGTAATCCAGGCACTCAAGGTCTTTATACATCAGCAGGTTTATTGGAAACACATGACCGATAAAGCAACATTTCGATCCTTTCAGGGATCTTTATCAAGCTTTATCAATCTGAAGGGATCGAAACGTTGCTTTATCTGTCATGTTTTTCAAATAAATCTGCTGATGTTTGAAGACCTTGAGTGCCTGGACTACTTTGCTGTTACTGTATTTTGATGCATGTCAGCATCAAGTAGTTATTTTGTTTTTGAAGTTCTATGAGGGTACTTCTTCATGTTGACAAAATATCTTTTGGTATTATATTATTCTACACAATTTACTGACGCA